TTCTTAGGGTATTTCGGTTGACCAAACTTGACCTTCCGGTTGACTGATCAGAACATAATTTTTCAGCTTTGTTTCTCAAGGTTCCTCGGCCGACTGACAACTTTGTTTCGGTCGACCTATGGACACCCTTTGGTCGACCGACCACTGTCATCCGGTCGACCGAATTAATACCGTTGGAATAACGACTAGCTTTCCAGATTTTATTGTTTTGTGATATTTTCTTAGTTTTGGGCCTTTGTTTCTTGATCCTATATATACCCCATACCCTTTAACTTCTGAACAAAGGAAGAAAATTTTAAAACAAGTTTACAAAGGGGTTTAAGTTTGTTTAAGAGTTTTTAAGTGATTTCAAGTTTGTTTTTGTGAAGAAAGTTTTACAAGATGAGAAGATTGATTCTTTCGTATTTAAGCTTCAATTCCATCTCTCTCTCACTCTTGTTATTTCAGAGAAGTTTTCTCTAAACTCAATTCTAGCTTTACATATTTATTTATTGATTATCAATTTTATCTAAGCTAAATTTTATATTAAGTTTAGTTTTCATTATTGTTCATATTGTTTCACACACACCCATATTTGAGCTTGAGTATTTTTACATATAATACACTTGGGTTGTGAGTGTGATTGATTTCTTTCTCAAATTGTATATGAAGAACAAATCATTTTATTTGTACTTGATTATTAAGAGTTCACTTTGTAATACATAAGTACACCGAGAGGAGTGTGTGGTGAGAGACAGGGTAGATTCCAAAAGGAGTGGTGTCGGTAGTAAAGCCTAGAGAGAGATTGTAAATCCGAGCACATGAGGAAGGCCACACGGGATAGGCCAACACTTAGTGGGTGTATTGTATTATTGCATTGTGAATGTTGTAAACATTTGTCGGTGAGCAGTGAAAATTGATTGTGGAGTATCTTTTGAGATAGTAGAGTTCTCCTTGTGAGTGGGGGGTGGAGACGTAGGTCAAGAGTGACCGAACTCCGTGATCACATCGTGTGTTTATATTGTCTATTTGCACACTATATCATTTGCATATTTGTTCTTGTTTATATCGCCCTTTGTTTGTATTGCATATCATTGCTCATATAACTTGTTGTATTTTATATTCGCTAGGATATATGTTAATAAGTTTTAAATTAACATTAATATAAGATTAGATTAGTATATACCCTATTCACACCCCACTCTAGGGTAATTTTATTTGGTATCAGAGCTTGGTGCTCTTGATTTGTGGCTTTATCGCCTAGAGTCAAAGATCCAAATTTTTATATATTTTTAATCTTGTTTTGAGATTAATTCATATTGCTTGCATAATATTCCATGGATATGAACGGTGCATCTAGTTTTGGTTATGTCATTAATATTGCTCCTAGGATTGATAATTTCTCCTATACACAATGGTGCATTAGATTTAAACTCTTTGTTAGATCTAGATTTTTTGGAAATAATTAATTGTGCTTATATTGTACCCACTTCAGAGAAATCCAAGTAGAGTAAAAATGATCAAAAATTATTTACCATGAATAAGCTTTTGTTAGAATTTTTACATGATGCGTTTGATTCATCTTTTTCTAACAAACTTGATTCTTTTAATAGTGCTTATACATTATGAAAACTTATAGAAGCGCATCAAGGAAACTTGGAGGTGATCTGACGGGCTTTGATGGCTTCCTCTTTAAGTTCAAATGGAGCATCTTCATGTACACGGCCACTAGGTGATAGCCCTAGTGAGGTATGCGAGTCTGATACCGATGATGAACTTTCTATCAATGAACTCGTTCGTGGATATAAAAAAATTAATGCATGAGTATAAGAAGTTGAAACGTAATTTTATAGATTTGAAAAGCAAGCATGTTGAATTAAAATCCTATCATGAGTTGTTAGCTTCTAAGTTTGATGATATTGCTAAAGAAAATATGATCCTAAAAGAAAACAATAATAAACATAAATTGGATCATGATTCTTTAATCTCAAATGTTGTAAATTTATCTCATGAGAAAAATAATGCCATATTAGAAGTAGAGAACATGAAAAATAAAGTTAATTCTTTTGCAAATAATTATATGTTCTACTTCTAATAACAATGTATTTATGAAAGTAAATGACTTGAATCATGTTAATGATCGCATATCATCTTTAGATTCAACCTTTAAAACATGCATTGTAAATAATAACAAGCTTATAAACTTGTGTGCAAAGTCCCGTGTAAATACTTCCAAGATTCCTACACACTATGCACACATGTATAACAAAGTTTATAAGTGTACTATTTGCGGCCGTAAATGTCATCTTTCCAAATTTTGTTATAACGCACAAAATCCCTCAAAATCCAATAATATTAACACTTGTGCATTCTATCAAGGCTCATCACATCATACACATACACATGCACATAAAGTTCATCATAAGCATGCTCATGTGTATAAATGTGACTATTATGGGTGTTTTGGTCATTTGACCAAATTTTGTTTTGGTTTCACATTTACAAAACGATTTTAAAAGACCATATATGTTTGTAAATGTTCATTATGCTCAACCAATAAGTCAACACAAATCATTTTACCCCTTTTATTGCACATATTGCAATCGAAAATGTCATTTGCATAATTTTTGTTTTAACCATGTTCTTGCACAAAATACACCCAAATAGGATCATAACCCAAGGGCATTAAGCTTAAATGATAGAAGTCATGTCCCTAAGCCTTTCAGCACCAAAAATATTTGGGTGTCAAAACAAAATTAATTTTGTTTATTTCGTGAATTTTTGTTTGATTTTTTATTTCATGCATTTTAAATGATGATTTGAGTTTAAATTAATTTTTAATTTATGAATATACTTTATATATAATATAAATAAAATATTTGGTGATGTTTTAGAAGGTTTTGATTGAATTATTACTTATTAAATATCATAACAAAGAAAAATTAGTGTTTTATCAAGTTTTCTTAAGCAAATGACCTCCAGGTCAACGTCAGTCGACCGACCCACCAGTTGACCGACCCTTGCAATTCAGTCGACCGACCAGTTGACCCACCAGTTGACCGACCCACCAGTCGACCGACCACTTTTGTTTGGTCGACCAGCCAGCAAGCGATCCTGACTTTTCAAGTTCTTAAATTTTGGATATTTTTTCTATCATATCCAACCCGTTTAGACCCATTTGCTATTGTCCATTGATTGTTATGACAAATCAATCTTAGCCCTTTATTCTTCCTCATATATATCTTCTAAAAACCCAAAACCCATTTCCTTCATCTCTTATTCCCGTTCTAAAACCCTAGTTCTATGTTTTCCTCCTGTTCAGGCGACCGCAAGAGATCCCCAGTCGAGTCCATGTAGCAATAGAGGAAAGGTCCCACTGTCAAGCTTCTCCTCGAGTTAATTGATCAGTATAGCACTCTCTTCATCACTCTCATTGTTCTCTTGTTTCAATTCTAGGGTTTCATATCTTTTGATTCAATTTCTAGGGTTGTTTTTAGATTTTCTCTACCTTTATTCTCATGAATCTATCGAAACGAGCAAGACCCAGTAAGGGTAGTTTTCCTGAACCCGTTCCTTAAGAAAAATACCTTCGTAATGTCACCCTACTTGACAAACATAGAAATATATGCAAATTGAAAATCGTTCCTGGTAGATTGGTTAACTTTGAGGATTTATCTTGTTTTTAAATTCACTCTCTTTTCAATGATGTGGGGTTACACGATATTTTGTCTCATCATAGCATAGTTCCACACTATCTTGAGCTTGTTTACCTTTTCTACATAAATTTATTACTTTTAGAAGCTGTTGATGGTACCATACTCATTCGTACTATGTTAAAAATCAGGAAATTATTTTCTTAGCTGAAGAATTAGCCGGGATTCTTAAATTTTCCATTTGAGACGTTCTTCTTCATGAGATTCAACTTAATGATCCATCAGCTAATTCCCTGATTTTCCTACCTGGCAAAGATTATTCTATGTCTCATAATTCCATCAACACTAATGCCAAATTGGTTGCTTGAATCATAGCCTATAACTTAATTCCTAAAACTGTTAGCTATGATCACTTTTCTCCAAATAAAGTGGCGGTTGTTTATTCCATCTTTGCCAAGTTCAAAGTCAATTAGGCAAAAGTTTTCTTTGATATAATGTTGAGCTGTCACTCAAAATTCCTTCCCTTTGGCTCCATTATTACCAAAATCATTACTCATTTTGGAGTCGATCTTTCTGGTGAGCCTAGTATTCCTCCGAGTTGTGAGTTCTATGATCATACCGCTCTTATTAGGATGAGACTCTTAGAATCCCACCTTGCCCATCCTTAGGTCACCTCAGCTCCTTCAGGTGCTACATCCTCTTCTCGTCCTTCCAATTTCAAGGCTTGTCCCCGTTCTTCTCGTGCTCTTCTGACTGATCATACTGACTTTGGTGTGCAGTTGGATAGCATGGAGGATAGGATAGCGAGGCTCGAGTTTAATGTTGAATAGATTATAAGGCTTCAACATCAAATATTGGACATGCTTCCTTCTTCCTCGGGTTCTGATGGTGATTCTAAAGTCTTTTGAGAACTTTATTTGGCTTTGCTTTTTTATTGCCTTGGACTTATGTAATTTGATGTCTTAAAACTATGTATTTAAACTTCATGTTTCATTGCTTTGGATGAACTATGCACCTTGGTTTTATGTTATTTGGCTTTAGATTATTTTAGTATGATGAGAACAATGTATGAGATCATTGTAAACTCTTTTGGTATTTATGCACTTCAGCTTGTTGTTCATCCCATGTATGTCTTATGATTATGTGGTGTGTGCTT